AGGAAAAGTGCCCTAAAATCCGTTTTGAAATGACCCTCTGTTTTTCCCATAAAATACAAAGATTATATAGGGAAATACGACTGGTCAGTTTTGACCCATTTCCCGATTTTTCCCGGACATGGCGAGTTTTTTGTGACACCCCAAGGCGTTCTCCTACCACCTCACAAAATTTCAAGGGGGGTCGTCGGAGGAAATTTTTTTTCGTAATATAGCCCATAAAAGGCGCCGGTCAGTCGAGGTCAGTTTTGACCCCCTGACCGTAGACTTTTCGGCCAACCGTCACCGGCCTTCGTGTTCTATCGCCCGAAGGCACCATCGTGCCAAATTTGACGCGCCTGCGGCGCCGGGAAGTGCCCTATCGGGCACTTGACCACTTTGCTTTATATATATAGACTAGGCATACTGCCTAGCTTCGCTTAGATTTTCAAAAAAGTTGAGAAATTGAATGATTAATTAAAAGGCGATTGGCTGTTATATTAAATGTCTAAATTTATACAGTGGGGTACTTTTTTAGTACCCATAAATTGATAGAATATTCGCAACTTATTACTCGCAAGGTTATTAGAACTGAAAGGGCTTTCATAAAAATTATCAATCAAATATTATATTAAATTACTTTTGCAATTAATTTTACAATTACAATACAATACAAAACTTAATTTATAACACAATATCCATTTAAAACAATGCTATACTTTATGATTTTTGTTTTTTCTTAAAAAGAGTATACAAAATATTAAAAAATTGTTACATTAAAAAGTTACCTCCCCTGCTCATAGACCAATTGACCAAATTTCGTATAATGAGAATTTCACTCGCAGTCATTTTTAGCCCTCTTCGAGGGCTTTAATGCTGACCAACAGGTTTTCCATACGGCCCATCTATCTATAGAGGTGTATGCAAAAAATTAGCCAGTTATACAAAGAGTAAGTACCCTAAAATTTGCGTAGAAATTACCCAGTTTTCCCCATAAAATACAAAGATTATATAGGGAAATACAACTGGTCAGTTTTGACCGCTTTACGAAGTTTTCCCAGATATGCCGAGTTTTTTGTGACACCCCTAGGTGTTCTTCTACCACCTCACAAAATATCAAGGGGGGTCGTCGGAGGAAATTTTTTTTCGTAATAGAGCTCATATAAAGAGAATTTCACTCGCGGTCACTTTTTAGCCCTCGTCGAGGGCTTTGAGTGTAACCGACAGTTTTCCCTAAAGGTCAAGCCATTGACCTAGGAGCATGCAAAAAATTAGCCAGATATACTGAGCTTAAGTACCCTAAAGTCTGCGTTGAAATGACCCTCTGTTTTTCCCATAAAATACAAAGATTATATAGGGAAATACAACTGGTCAGTTTTGACCGCTTTACGAAGTTTTCCCAGATATGCCGAGTTTTTTGTGACACCCCTAGGTGTTCTTCTACCACCTCACAAAATATCAAGGGGGGTCGTCGGAGGAAATTTTTTTTCGTAATAGAGCTCATATTTAGAGAATTTCACTCGCGGTCACTTTTTAGCCCTCGTCGAGGGCTTTGAGTGTAACCGACAGTTTTCCCTAAAGGTCAAGCCATTGTCCTAGAAACATGCAAAAAATTAGCCAGATATACTGAGTTTAATTACCCTAAAATCCGCGTTGAAATGACCCTCTGTTTTTCCCATAAAATACAAAGATTATATAGGGAAATACAACTGGTCAGTTTTGACCCCTTTACGAAGTTTTCCCAGATATGCCGAGTTTTTGTGACACCCCAAGGCGTTCTCCTACCACCTCACAAAATTTCAAGGGGGGGTCGTCGGAGGAAATTTTTTTTCGTAATAGAGCTCATATAAAGAGAATTTCACTCGCGGTCACTTTTTAGCCCTCGTCGAGGGCTTTGAGTGTAACTGACAGTTTTCCCTAAAGGTCAAGCCATTGACCTAGGAGCATGCAAAAAATTAGCCAGATATACTGAGCTTAAGTACCCTAAAGTCTGCGTTGAAATGACCCTCTGTTTTTCCCATAAAATACAAAGATTATATAGGGAAATACAACTGGTCAGTTTTGACCGCTTTACGAAGTTTTCCCAGATATGCCGAGTTTTTTTTGAAACCCCTAGGTCTTCTTCTATCACCTCACAAAATATCAAGGGGGGTCGTCGGAGGAAATTTTTTTTCGTAATAGAGCTCATATAAAGAGAATTTCACTCGCGGTCACTTTTTAGCCCTCGTCGAGGGCTTTGAGTGTAACCGACATTTTTCCCTACAGGTCAAGCCATTGACCTAAGAGTATGCAAAAAATTAGCCAAATATACTGAGCTTAAGTACCCTAAAGTCTGCGTTGAAATGACCCTCTGTTTTTCCCATAAAATACAAACATTATATAGGGAAATACAACTGGTCAGTTTTGACCGCTTTACGAAGTTTTCCCAGATATGCCGAGTTTTTTGTGACACCCCTAGGTGTTCTTCTACCACCTCACAAAATATCAAGGGGGGTCGTCGGAGGAAATTTTTTTTCGTAATTGAGCTCATATAAAGAGAATTTCACTCGCGGTCACTTTTTAGCCCTCGTCGAGGGCTTTGAGTGTAACCGACAGTTTTCCCTAAAGGTCAAGCCATTGACCTAGGAGCATGCAAAAAATTAGCCAGATATGCTGAGCTTAAGTATCCTAAAGTCTGCGTTGAAATGACCCTCTGTTTTTCCCATAAAATACAAAGATTATATAGAGAAATACAACTGGTCAGTTTTGACCGCTTTACGAAGTTTTCCCAGATATGCCGAGTTTTTCGTGACACCCCTAGGTGTTCTTCTACCACCTCACAAAATATCAAGGGGGGTCGTCGGAGGAAAATTTTTTTCGTAATAGAGCTCATATAAAGAGAATTCCACTCGCGGTCACATTTTAGCCCTCGTCGAGGGCTTTGAGTAAAACTGACAGGTCTGCCCTAAGACCAAGCCATTTACCTATAAACATGCCAAAAATTAGCCAGATGTAAAGAGGGTAAGTGCCCTAAAATCCGTTTTGAATTGACCCTCTGTTTTTCCCATAAAATACAAAGATTATATAGGGAAATACGACTGGTCAGTTTTGACCCATTTAACGATTTTTCCCGGACATGGCGAGTTTTTTGTGACACCCCAAGGCGTTCTCCTACCACCTCACAAAATTTCAAGGGGGGTCGTCGGAGGAAATTTTTTTTCGTAATATAGCCCATATAAGGCGCCGGTCAGTCGAGGTCAATTTTGACCCCCTCTCCGTAGACTTTTCGGCCAACCGTCACCGGCCTTCGTGTTCTATCGCCTGAAGGCACCATCGTGCCAAATTTGACGCGCCTGCGGCGCCGGGAAGTGCCCTATCGGGCACTTGACCACTTTGCTTTATATATATAGATATATTTTGGTTGCTTTTTTTCCTATTGTAGTTATTATTGCTTGGGTGAGATAAGACGAGATATTCTACAAAGTCTTTGTCATCAAATTGTTATCATTGAGTCCGTGGTATATACTTTCTTTTTTAATCTGTTGCAATTCTCATGATCCAATCTATGGCAAGATGGAACATCGCTAGTGACAATAGTCGACCAGTCTCATTCTTATCTTTATCTTTTTCTCATGCGAAACCCTACACTTTAATTCCGTGTAAGACTATGCATTTCTTTGATACGTTTCTCAATTATTTCTGAGTATCATAACAGCGATTGTGCCTTTCAACAAAGAATGTTGTTTATTTACTCGTGAGAGCTCTACTCCGTTGAGCGGTTTTTATCAACATACCATATTTTATCAACATACAATATTTTATCAACATACTATATTTTATCAACATACTATATTTTATCAACATACTATATTTTATCAACATACTATATTTTATCAACATACCGTATTTTATCAACATACCATATTTTATCAACATACCATATTTTATCAACATACTATATTTTATCAACATACCATATTTTATCAAACTTCCCATATTTTATCAGCATACCATATTTTATCAACATACAATATTTTATCAAAATACCATATTTTATCAACATACCATATTTTATCAACATACCACTTTTTATCAACATACCATATTTTATCAACATACCATTTTGCAGATGACCAGCCTCACAATATTATAAGACTATCTAAAATGTTATTAAATGCAGCGTTTAAACTTTATTTTGGAAGTTTACACGCGGTTTACTTACATTCATAAAGCGAGGAAGAGAATATTGCTGAAAACGCTCTCACTTCATCGACTGAGGTAATTGAAATAGGTGAACTCTACTGCACCATTGACCGCCAGGATCGCAAAACGTTTAACGGTTGTGCTTGTACAGTAAAACGAATTAAGGATCCAGATATAAAGTGACATTTTTGACAACAATAACAAAAAAAAAAGAGAATTCCCTTAAAATTACTGCATCGAAGTGCTATAAGTACAGGATTGATCAAATATATTATATAATAATTGGACCTTGTTCAATCGATCAGCATATTATAATACCCGCAACGTATTAGCATAAACTGCATTTGGTAACGGAACATCCTTAATATATTATTAACATGTCAGTATTATGTAGTATTACATTGGCAATGTGTGTATATATTGAAATTGTAATAATTTATAAGATGCTCCAGAGATGTAAAGATGAAGTACGTGATGTGACCGTTTAAACGTTACAATATAGGCAGACTAGTCTTATGTTGCCAGAAATATTTTTGTCTCAAGCTGACAGAAATGTTAAGCTGTCTTACAGTGATGAGAAGCAGTGTAGAACATCTGTGTGTGATCGATCTTTTGTCTATTGGAATTAAAACAACATAAATGCTTTAACGATGGGATACATATTTATTTAAAATTTATACGTATATAAAAAATAACTTACGGTGATAAAAAATTCTTTTCAAACAAACACATAGACATGATGGTAATTGGAGGGATATTACTGCTTTTTGTTTCTCAATTTAAAGCAAACTTAGCCATATTTTATGCTTACAAGTTTTTATAAAATACTTATATATTTTCAGGACTTGACATTTCATTGGAAATAGAATACTATATAGAGGGTAGAGATTTATTCTGTGCCAAGTTACATTGTGTGGAGAACACAAGAGAAGATAAAATCTCAGCTCTTGTCAACATGTCAGTCTATAGGATCAGTGAATTAGAGGGGAAGATTGTGTTGGCGTCTGTATCAGAATCAGATTCAAGAGTTCAAGATTATAAAGTAAATGGATCAAAAGTTGACGGAAAGTTTTCAAAGGTGTTTGGAGACTTGACTGTGTCATTTACAAAAACTTCTGATTGTTTTAGTACTGTGTTTGGATGTGATGTGTATTACACAAACAGAAGGGGTCTCATTGAGAAGAAAGAGAACAAAACCAAACCTGTTGACCAAGACAATTTTAAGCCACTGATGTTGATGACCGTAGAGGCTAAAACTCCAGAGTTTGATAAAACAATTGATAGAATGTCAGAGTTTCTGAAAACTTTTCAATATTCTGAATTGTTAAACAGTGCTGACTTGAAGATGAATTTACAGTTTTCAACAGAAGACATACATTCTAACCAGACTGTAAGTCAATTGAATCATAGAAGAGAGTTACCGGTGGAAGAAAGATTTGACAACTTTGTTAATCTTACAAATGCGATGGAAAGTAGATTGAATAGCTTGTTAGTTGCTCAAGAATCTAAAATTCAGAGACTCGAACACAAAATTAACAACATAACCAATGGATACAAGGACGTTGAGAACAATTTGGACATACAACATAAAACTAATCAAGAGCTTGCGCAGTTTAAAAATAACTTTAATGAAAACTTACTAAAAACATTTCAACAAATGGAAGCAAACAATAAAACACTTGAAATATACAATAGATCAATAAAAGACGTACAAAGTCTTTACAACGCTTTAAACAAACAACTGGAGAAATTGAACTACAGTGTGATTAATGTATCATTAAGTTTGTCTCAAAATTCAAATGAAAAGGAACATCTGACTAAAAACATGCAAGATTTAAAAATAGATTTATTAAACGTGACTAAGCAAAACATTGAAAATAGCACTTCGATTTCGGAACAACGTCAAAATGTGCGCATTCAGCAACTGGAAGAAAGCAACAAATTACTTTCTGAAACACTTAATGATTTAAACGCCAACATGGAGAAGACTAACACATCCATACAAAATCTGATTAAGAAATCAGCTCAAATAAGTGTCGTATTCATTAGATTAAATGGATTAGTTGGACTTGAAAACGTACGTTAAAATTTAAATATATATATATATATATATATATATATATATATATATATATATAATATTTATATAACATGATCAGACTTTTACGTTCTGCTAATTCCTGATTTCGCTTGACATTGTCAGTTTTGCAAAGAGATTGTAAAGCTCCGAAGTAAATGTTCTTTTTTTGATAGGATATTTTGTAATCTAGCCTTAAATCAGCCTCCCATTTGGCCCCTACATGCGTCAAACGTAAAAATACGAACATGTTTTTATTGGTGTTTATTGAAAAGAACATAATGTTCTACAAAATACTAGAGGTTAATATTTTTAAAAGTATATTTTACAATTCATAAGAATTCATAAGAAGTATGATTAAGTAGAATGCCTTTAAAATAAATTACATTAAAATTGCAAGCCAGCAGCTCACTTTAAGAAAACGTTGGTCCTTGTTCCGACAATATTTAACAAAATATTCACATTCATATATTGATAATTTATGTCATTAAATTCTAACACATACCAACGTTAGCTCTACCTATACATATACACACACACACGCACATACAAACACACATAACTATATAAGTCCAGATATGCACATATATATATATCTATATATATATATATCTATATATATCTATATATATCTATATAAATAAATAAATAAATATATATATATATATATATATATATATATATATATATATATATATATATATATATATATATATATATATATATATATATATATATTATGTGGGTGGGTATTGGTTTGTAATATATATATATATATATATATATATATATATATATATATATATATATATATGTGTGTGTGTGTGTGTGTGTGTGTTAACATATATAAGTGTGTATGCTTTCTTCTTAGTTGTGTGTATCTGTATAATATTTTGCTAGGTGATAACTTTGTTATAGATAATACCATATATTTATTAAAATAAAGTAACGAAATGTTTACCCCGTGTGATGTAAACACATATATCTTAAATTTATTACATATTTACCTATAATAAATAAAATATTTGAAATGTTTTTTTGACTCCAGTTAAAATGTGCCAACATGAACGATCGTGTTGTAGCGGACATGACAGAGGCTGGAGTAGATGTCAACAGAACATTGTGTGATAACAAAACTGACGGTGGAGGATGGATTATTATACAGGTTATTTTGTCCTATAAATCATTCTAACCAATTATCAAATTTGTATATCCTATATTTTTCTGACAGTTTTTATGAATTTATTCAACTGAAAACACGTTTATAATACTCAATAATAGTTTAGCTATTACCTAAATAATGTAAAACAAATAATAGTTGAACGACTTTCACTGTGTTTGTACTATATATTGTTTGTTTATTTGAAATGATAATGTTTTTGGTAGTTGTATCGACATCAAGAGACACAATCTCTAGTAAGAGTTCTGGTAAACCGTTGTTCAATAGTTTAATTGGTTGACCAGGTGAACAGTTCACAGGTGTATCTTAAAAATATTTCATTCTTTGGGGGGATTTTTCGAGAGAAAACTGATTTGTAGTCTAGTTTTTTTTTTTTTTTTATATAACTCATGTTAGAAATTTGAAATAAAATAGAGAAATTCAGACTTCGTGATAGATAACGATCGTATTCAGTGTACATTTATTGTATTTTATTAATGTGCAGGAAAATACTTTTTTGTTGTATGTTTAAAAGTTGCAATGTATTTGTTTAAAGTTTGAACAGAAACAAACGTTAAAGCAAGTGGCTATCTGGTGATTATGTAGCTGGTTTGTTATAAAATATAACAATATAGTAAAGATTCCTCTTTAGACCGAACTATCCATTGGGCAGATGAAGTAGAGTTCATGTTTTTTGACCTCGGCATGTAAAGGGATAATGTGGTCAGCACTATGCCCAGCCGCCTTTACTTTCCTTAACGTGAGTTAGGTAGGCCTACCCATCAGAGTTTGTTGGACTCAGGGACATTCTAATAACTTAACCAGGTTTCGAACTCTAAACTTTCGGGTTAGCAGTCTAGCGCTTTACTGCTAGGCCACGCCGTATCATTATAATATAACAATAATCTTGATTAATTTTATAGATAATTAAGCCTTTGAATAAATTAAATCAACTACCTAAGCCGTTGTTTTACCACTACCGTTTTTTCTTACATAAGCATTTTGATTTCTCAAAACATTGGATGGTTATTAACACTTGCGTAAAATAAAAACATAATTAATCTATAGAATTAATCTTACTAACTTTCTTAAACTTTATTTTAGCATTGTCATTATTTCTTTTAGAGACGTGTTAAAGGTGATGTGAACTTTACAAGAACTTGGAACGATTATAAAAATGGATTCGGTTCAACATCTGGAGACTTTTGGATCGGAAATGATGTAATTTCAAAGTTGACAGATTTGGTAAGGAAATAATGGCTGCTTAAAAACCATGCATGGAAACTGAAATTAGTTCTAAAACATTACGAAGTAACACTTATTAATGTGTTTTAGGGAACTGTGTTAATTTTATTGTAACCCACACGCACTGCACGATGTAGATGTTATCACGTAATTTCTAATTCTTAAAAAAAATCACTTTATTCGATACAACTATACACCAGCTTGTGAGTTTAGATGTTTGATAACTGTTTCAAAAAACATGGGGTCTTTTTAACATCAATTTCTCAATTTGATAATAATTTATTTTACTTGATTTTCAACGAATTATTTAATTTAAAATTTAGTACTAATATTGACAATTAAATACATTGCAGTAGCTAATATGACACTGACAATTACGTATGAAACACGCTTTTTTGGTGGATATGATTTTTATATATTTTACAACAGCAAATGTTATCTGACATAAACTATATTACACCATCTCAATTGACACAACTTTAACATATAAAGGAAGTCTATTAACGATAAAAACATGTTATTATTCTTTCGATAACCACAAGTCTTTTACAATATATCGCACTATATCATATTATTCATATTATTATATGATCTCTGAATTGTAGATGAAATACACTTTTTTTTAAATATCTTAACGTTAGATTTTAGCGGTCTTGATTCCATTGGTCTTTAGTTATCTTCAAGTCATATTCCTCTATCATTTCCTTATATTAACTACCCTATAAATTACTACCACTCGACAAATAATTGCAGTAGGACACTAACCCATTTTATTACTTAACGGACACCAGTACAAAAAGAAATGGATAACAAGTTAGCAATAGGTAAAACTTATGGGGTTGTGAACAAGAGATGGATAGATATGGAAAATTTGTTGAAATTTAAATGAGGGGACAGTAATTACATAACTAGGGTAATACTAAGTTTTAGAGGAGAGGGTTTTATTGACTAGCAGTGAATAACTGATTAGATAAGTGAAGGATAATGTACTACAATTGGTATTCATACTTTTATTTAGTCTAGCTATTTCTCGTAAGAAAATAGATATTGATGTGTCACTATCAGTCGCGGAACTAGAAAAAAAGACTCACCCGCAAAAAGTTTTTGTAGCCTGTTTCAACCAATTATAAATGATCTTTTTTTCCCGAGTAATTTAAACTATTTCATAGCGATGTATAACCACCCTGAGATAACAAACCTGAAAAAATTATGTCCAAACTCATTTCAGGCCTGGTGTAATCGTGTTTTATAAATACAGTAACTTCACACACCATTTGGGTAGATATTTACAAGGTAGTTAAAGTGATGCAAAGGGTAAAATAAATAAATAGATACATAAGTAAATAAATACTTAAAATACATTGGGTTTAAAACATGTTGGTTCAAAAAGTGGACAAAGGCTAGTTTATAACATTTTACCAATAAACGAGGGTGAAAATTATAACATATAGTAGAATAGTCGAAAACAAAGTTAGTTTACGTTGATTTCATACCATATTGTACAATAAACATATTAAATAGAAAAAGAAAAGAAAAAAAAACAAGATTCAAACGAATCAAAGCTGATGGGGTGGGTGAGATCGTTGGAGTAGGTAAAAGTATCATGGGGTATCCGGGTTAAGGGTTATGGGGGTATCCGGGTTAAGGGTCATGGGGGTATCCAGGTTAAGGGTCATGGGGGTATCCGGGTTAAGGGTAATGGGGGTATCCGGGTTAAGGGTTATGGGGGTATCCGGGTTAAGGGTTATGTGGGTATCCGGGTTAAGGGTCATGGGGGTATCCGGGTTAAGGGTTATGGGGGTATCCGGGTTAAGGGTTATGTGGATAGAGGGGGCGGGTGGTGGTGGCTGACGAAGCGTAAAGAGAGTGAATGTGTGGGTTTAAGGCGAGCCAGGCGTTTATGTTAGTTTAACGTTAATATTTGTAACAAGGTGAAAAAAAACCCCAAAGGCTGGTTGAAAAATATACAGATTGCATGGTGTGTGTTTTCACCATTTGTAAAACTTAGTAAAATGGTCAACCCACATAGATGTTTTACATAAATTTCGTCACAATTTGCACAGTAGTAGATACAAAAGAAAACAAAAAACAACACAAACAAATCAAAGCTGATGTTGGGGTGGGTGGGGGGTGGTTTGGTCGTTGGGGGGGGGGGGGGGACCGACCATGTTGGAGTGTTAGTGATTGAGCGGGAGGGGGTAAAGTGTGGTGCTTCAGTGTCGATGTGCTATGATTATTTGAATGTTTATTACCGACGTGTGTGGGGTGGGTAGGTGTGAAGCTATAATGATGTGTGGGGATACGGTGGAGTGACCCCACCCCTACGAGGGTTGTAGGGGTGGGGTCATGGGGGCACGAGGGTTGTAGGGGTGGGGTCATGGGGCCAAAAACATCAGAAAGGGGAGGGATTGGTGAGACACCCGAGGCGGTGATGCGTATCTAAGGTGATGTGATCAAGAAACTCGGAAGCTAAGAGTTAAATATATTTTACCCAACCGTAAACCTTATACGTTAAAGGTTGTAAACGAGTTTAGTATTAAGCCGCCCTAGAGGTTGTACACTGATAGAGAAAAAAATGCGATGCTCTTTTAGACACGCTCTGCATTGCTACCATAATGTAGGCTACAACTTGACCTAGATGCATTGCTGAGGTGGAGATAGCCAAATAAAATTCAAGAATTGGACGATGTAGACATATGACAAATATGAGCGGAAGATTGTATTGAATCTGGCTAAAACTGTTAAAGGGCTGTTGAAAAAGGGGATAAATAGATGAATGGATAATATCAGCTGCAAATGTGGAGAATGCGTAGTGAATGCAAAGTCTTGAAATTTCTGCTATTAATATAGCATACACTTGTTTATAGTTACTAATAAATTCATGTTGATAATTTTATTTAATCTTTATATCGATTGGACTGTGCGTCTGGTGTACACATGTCACTGAAATGCACATTTAAATCATCAGTCAAGGCATTGAATATTTAAAATACATTTAAACGGACCTAGATTAAGTAACGTGCTATTTTAATGGCGAATGCATCCTAATGTATTTCGTTGAGTTTTTAAATTTTACAAAACAATAGCTAACTAACGAAACAAATACTATACATCTTCACTTTATCTGACGAAGGTGCATTTACTGTACATGCAGTATGTTAATAGATTAATAAATTAACAATGCGTGTTTTTATTTTTATCGGGAAAAAAGCTAAGTGTCTTTATCCGTTTATTTCAGAAGTGTTTATTAGATAAACGATACACAGATTAGTTAGATATTAAATTATATGGGGCACCTGCCAAACTGGAGACCACAGTCCGGTTTGTTCATGAAGTTGGACTTGTTGTTTGAATCCTCCACCATATACTCAATTAAGAACGAAGAAGAAGAAGAAGGAGTTAGATATTTTTAGGAAGGGTAACACAGCTTATATAATAAAGATCGTGGTTATGTAACGAACATTAAAGAATAGTGTAATGCAGTCAGTAGGATATTTTCCACCGGTCATTTCTTCCTCTACCGGTTTTATCAACAGTTATATTCCACACCCTCCCCCCTGCCCTCAACTTTATTATATTAACCCCATTACACAACATACATATAGAGAGACAAATAAGATAAGTTGTAAGATTTAGAATTAGGGCTATTGAGCTTATCAAAAAAAGGAAAAGTACATAAGTAATATATATTGTAAGGGAGATGGGTTTATTACCTGACAGCGTGTTACAACGGCAGGCAATGTAAGGTGAAGAAAAGGAGGGAGTTCTAGAAAAGCCATACGTAAATTGAATATAAATAGTATTTCTTGTAAGGGAATATATTTTAAAGTTTCAATGTAAGCAGGCAATAGATAATGTTATATTTCCTTTCTTAACAGACGTCTTTTGTTTTAATGATGGGGTAGATACAGGAGCTATCAAAATAAGTTTATTCAATATTTTTTTACAAAGAAAGTTTTCAAGCAATGTGTGTATTATTGTAATATTGTGTTTTGGAAAATTGTGTATATTGTTTATAGATTTTCGTTAAGTTTTTTTATCAATATGTATAATTATCATATAATATAGGCAGATCAATACATAAAATATTTCAAACACAATGCAATATCTGAATATTTCTAATTTTTTTGTCTAATACAGGGTTATAATGAACTAAGATTTGACATGAAGTATAAAGGTAAAGACTACTACGCTGTGTACAGAGGTTTTAAGGTAGAAAATGAAGTAGCAAAGTATAAGATGAGCTTCACGTCATTCAGTGGTGAGAATGGTGGAAACACGTTTATACATCACAATAGCATGAAGTTTACAACCATTGACTCTGATAACGATATACACTCAGGAAGAAACTGTGCTGTAGATAGGAGAGGTGGTTGGTGGTATTATAGTTGTCACAATGTTAACGTCAACGGTGAATGGGCGAGTCGTGTTTATGAGAAAGGAATTCATTGGTCTAGCATTACAGGCTGGTCTGAATCTCTAGACTTTGTTGAGATGAAACTTCGTCAAATGTAAACAACCCGAAAACAATGCTATGGTAAAATAATGGATATACAGTAATCAAATTATTTATTTAATCTTCAGGAACATAAGCAACATTATTATATTAAAATAAATAGATGTAAACATTTAACTAAGGCAATATTTTCTTGATGGTGAGTTTACATAAGAAGTTTAAAATTATCGAACATTAAACAAAACATTTTATTTAAAAAAATTGATTTTAAAAACTACAACTGAGTTTGTTTTGCTGTTATGATGTAATAAAGCCATTTATACACTCATCTAGAATTGAAATTCCTCATAGATTGACTGTGCGTGTGTTAGCCATTAAAACAGGTAAAAAACGACTATGATGGTGTCATTTATTTCTTGCATATTCATAGACTAGTAGTGTAGTTGTCATCTACCACTATATCTTTAATTAGACATTCACTCGGATCGTGTAAAGTTCAACTCTAATAACGTGTGTAATGTTTATGCAATTTTTTCAATAATATTTTTTCGCATAGTTTTTCGAAAGATGTATATATGACATCCAAAATCACATAAAATAGATTGTAACTGTTAATTTGGGATCTGTAAAGCTTTGTATTATAAATGTGAACATTATGCGGTCATACAGTAGAATAAAAATATATTATTTAAGTAAATCCTTTGTTTCAGTAGTTAATGTTTTATCAATGTATTCATATCGAGCATGTTTGTTTATTAAGAAATCTCTACTATCAAATATAAATACTTATTAGTACAAAATAAAAGTTTTATTCTGAATATGTTTGTATTACTGAGATTGGAATATTCTTTTATTATCGTTTTCAAGGTATATAACCACACTCTTACAAATCAAGTGGGTTATTTTAATTGTTATCTCCCGTGAACAATTTATTTAGTGTCGTTTGTGTTCCATACCATAGACTAGAGAAATTTCCAATTACCTAATTTTATAATTGTATTTGTTTAGTATGTTTACATGGACACAATTAATGAAAAGCAATTATATGCATTTATATGCATCTTTATTATAACGTCCACTTAATTTTTATATCAAGCCTCCCTTTGTGTAGTTGAAGGAATTGTTTGGTTTATATCAGTGGTTCCCAACCTTTTTCGAGTGGCGACCCCCTTTTATAAAAAGTAAGTGACCCGCGACCCCCATAGAATTAAAAACCGAAATTAGTAATGAAATTAATAAGCACTAAAATGATATTTTCTTGTAGACTTTCAATATAAACTACTCTTGATAATTGTTTTAATAGCATGAGTAAAATTGCATACTATTCACTAAACCTTCGTGATTGAGTTTTTAATTTTTTAAAAAATTGTTAATCTACGTCATTATAATTATCTCAATTTTGTTTTTAATCGAAGAATACTGTTGAAAATATATTCTCGAAAAGTCAATCAATTTTACGTTTGGGTATGAATGGTGAATACTACACCAAAGTTGTGTCTGCAGTTTTTAATCTTGCTCGAAATCATTCCGCATAACAAAGAATTCATCTTGTAATTCATCGGGAATGCTGGCAACATAAAAGGAAGAAGAGATGGGTAATGCGTAAAAGCAGATTCTTCTTTTTTCAGCTCAGAGAAATAGCGATGCAGTTCGTTTTCAAGAGATTCAAGATGCCCAGAAATCGCTTCTTTCAAAAATTTAATTATCTCAAATTTACAATATTTCCAAAATTTATTTTTTTTACCGATTTTGCAGCTTTGATAAAAATGTCGCAAGAGTATCATGGAAAATTATAATATTCGTTCATTTTCCCTGAAGCTTTAGGTTAAGCTTATCTTGATGTTCGAACACATCTGCTAGGTATGGTACTCTCTCCAACCATTCTATGTCGTTTTAAGTATACCAAAAAGTCTTGTTTCCTTTGCACTTCCAAGAACAATTTGATTTCAGATTTCAATTCAAAAACACAATTTACAACATTTTGTTTGACAGCCAGCGTACTGTAGTATAGAAGAGCAGAACCTCGTGATCTATATTAATGTTTTTGCTCAGTTCTTTGAAGGCTCCAGATTTTATATAATTTACGATTTATACTAGCAATGGACTCTTGATGTCGATTGGTTAGGGCAGTGGTTAGGGAGCTAAATCTTTTCTTTTTTTCTGAAAGCCCGATTTTGAGCTAAACATAGATGGCGCACCATTCGTACAAACCCCCACGGCCGTTTTAACCCATTTTAATCATCCAGTTTCAAAAAAGGTAATTATTTTCTTCATGCTATCTTCACAAAAGAGCAAATTTTCTTTGCTATCATCCGCATGAATATAGACACAGACCAGCAACTGTGAACACGATCTCACGTCTGTTGATTTATCAACTTGAAAAGAAAAGAATGGTAAAAGCTTAATTTCGATAAAAATGTGTTATTTAACATTTACGTACATGCAACGTTTGATGAGATTTTCTCCTATTGTTTTTTTTTTTTTGCTTGGCATTTTCTATCGCGACTGCTTTTGATGCTTGCACTAATGCTGGTGAAAACTTCCTGTTCGATCAAGACTCTGACGTTTGCAACTAGCTTCTTACCGACGAAAGAACTCCATATATTTTTTGGTGTGTTCCGAATGACTCGTCTCAATGGCGTTTTAGTTTTGAAGACTTCATAGATTCGTGACTGAGAACAACTTTGTACAGTGCGCTTTGTTTCTTCTCTATTACATTTCCAGTGATGTTAATGAAGCCGAATTTCAAAAATGCTTCTAAATATTTATGTTTTGTTTCAAATTACTAAGGTTTAATATACCAGTTGGCGACCCCCCAGAAAGACCTTCGCGACCCCCAGGTTGGGAACCCGTGAGTTAGCGAATCCCACAGTCTCCCGCCCCATCTCGCCGTTTCCCTAGAAGCTAATGATAGGGTTGATTAAAAGCTGATAGTGTTGATTAAAAGTTGATAGGGTTGGTTAAAAGCTGATAGTTTTGATTAAAAGTTGATAGGGTTGATTAAAAGTTGAGAGGGTTGATTAAAAGTTGAGAGGGTTGATTAAAAGTTGATAGGGTTGGTTAAAAGTTAATAGGGTTGATTAAAAGCTGATAGTGTTGATTAAAAGATTAAAAGTTGATAGGGTTGATTAAAAGCTGATAGTGTTGATTAAAAGATTAAAAGTTGATAGGGTTCATTAAAAGTTGATAGGGTTGATTAAAAGTTGATAGGGTTGCTTAAAGTATAGATAATGATCAAACTTATTTATTAAAACAGAATTTGAATTTTAAAACACACAATAGTGAACTTTCTATAAAATACTATACGAATTCTACTCTAAACACTTTTTGTTTAAGATTCACATGAGAAATAAAAAAGTAAAGAACCGTAACCGGCTAAATGTAATGGGATCCTATGTTTTTTATTCGGTTGCTTCCCTTTGATGGTAAAAGTAAACGTTTCCCTTTCAAACCTGACGTTCTATGGGGCAAGTGAAGTAGAGTTCACTTTCTAGTGACCTAGTCCATAAATGACGCGTTTTTGACGATTTTACTTCCCCCTCCCCTCCGTCACACGTCGTCACAAAAAGCCAAACCCCTCCCCTAAAATGACGTCATACCTCAGCCTACAACACCCCCCCCCCCCCCCCTTAAAATTGCTATTAGTTTTCTTAAAACATCGATATTTTACCAAAACCTTGTCAGAACTCTGCAACAGAGTATTTTGATCAATTCCTATTACAATTTATTAAAACCGTTTTCTAAACTCGAAATAACGGCTAAAACTCGTTTCTAGCATTGCTTTTTTTATAATGCAAAAGTGTGACGTCACACCATCTAACACCACCCCCCCCCTCCCCTTCCCCTTCATCTCACTTTGTCACAAAATTACGAACCCCGTCTCCTCCTCCCTTCTAGTGTGACGTTATTTATCATTTATGGACTACTACATGACTTAAATTCATTTCTTTTATTTTTTACAAGCTTTTATTTAACTCACTTCCTCTGTCGTCATTCTGTCGACAGTCTGTCTAGATAGAAACGCAGGAGTGAAAATTCGGACAGTTCTACTTGACCGACACGATTCACAGTTGGCACGTGGGTCAAGACATGAAGACAATGCAATCTGAAACTAAATTTGACTTAATTGGATGCCTAATTGATTTTTTATGAATTAATTAAAATTTGGACCGAATTAGTAGGCATGTCTAGCCAACCACACCACACGCGTCATCAATAGCTGCGCCATCACGACCACGTAATGGCTGCGTTCAAAAACCATTGCGCGCCTACTGAACGTGATGTTCAGTAGGCGCGCAATGGTTTTTAGTCATGTAACTCTATTGTAAATAAAACATGTAAAGTACTGAAAAAAAAAATTCATAAAAAACGTTTTAATAACAAGCTTTTATGTAATGATGCACTAAAAAGTAGAAAATAAATTATAGACTACTATTTAAATAACTATAAAGAAAAGCGTGGGTGTCTTCCTTAACATTAGTAAAGGTATCCAATAGATACTAAAGTGACCCACGCTTTTCTTTATAGTTATTTAAATAGTAGTCTATAATTTATTTTCTACTTTTTAGTGCATCATTACATAAAAGCTTGTTATTAAAACGTTTCATATTATTATATGATCTCTGAATTGTAGATGAAATACACTTTTTTTTAAATATCTTAACGTTAGATTTTAGCGGTCTTGATTCCATTGGTCTTTAGTTATCTTCAAGTCATATTCCTCTATCATTTCCTTATATTAACTACCCTATAAATTACTACCACTCGACAAATAATTGCAGTAGGACACTAACCCATTTTATTACTTAACGGACACCAGTACAAAAAGAAATGGATAACAAGTTAGCAATAGGTAAAACTTATGGGGTTGTGAACAAGAGATGGATAGATATGGAAAATTTGTTGAAATTTAAATGAGGGGACAGTAATTACATAACTAGGGTAATACTAAGTTTTAGAGGAGAGGGTTTTATTGACTAGCAGTGAATAACTGATTAGATAAGTGAAGGATAATGTACTACAATTGGTATTCATACTTTTATTTAGTCTAGCTATTTCTCGTAAGAAAATAGATATTGATGTGTCACTATCAGTCGCGGAACTAGAAAAAAAGACTCACCCGCAAAAAGTTTTTGTAGCCTATTAATTTTATAGATAATTAAGCCTTTGAATAAATTAAATCAACTACCTAAGCCGTTGTTTTACCACTACCGTTTTTTCTTACATAAGCATTTTGATTTCTCAAAACATTGGATGGTTATTAACACTTGCGTAAAATAAAAACATAATTAATCTATAGAATTAATCTTACTAACTTTCTTAAACTTTATTTTAGCATTGTCATTATTTCTTTTAGAGACGTGTTAAAGGTGATGTGAACTTTACAAGAACTTGGAACGATTATAAAAATGGATTCGGTTCAACATCTGGAGACTTTTGGATCGGAAATGATGTAATTTCAAAGTTGACAGATTTGGTAAGGAAATAATGGCTGCTTAAAAACCATGCATGGAAACTGAAATTAGTTCTAAAACATTACGAAGTAACACTTATTAATGTGTTTTAGGGAACTGTGTTAATTTTATTGTAACCCACACGCACTGCACGATGTAGATGTTATCACGTAATTTCTAATTCTTAAAAAAAATCACTTTATTCGATACAACTAAACACCAGCTTGTGAGTTTAGATGTTTGATAACTGTTTCAAAAAACATGGGGTCTTTTTAACATCAATTTCTCAATTTGATAATAATTTATTTTACTTGATTTTCAACGAATTATTTAATTAAAAATTTAGTACTAATATTGACAATTAAATACATTGCAGTAGCTAATATGACACTGACAATTACGTATGAAACACGCT